ATTTAGGTTGTTTCCAGGTTCTGTCTATTACAATTAATGCTGCAATGAACATAGGTGAACAAATGCCTTTGTAGTATGATTGAGCATCTTTTGAGTATGTGCCCAAGAGTGATATTGCTGGATCCTGAGGTAAGTTGATTCCCAATTTTGTGAGAAACTGCCATACTGATTTCCACAGATGTAGTTTGCATTCCAACCAGCAATAAAAGAGTATTCTCCTTACTCCACATCTGCAGGATAAACTATCATTGGTGCTTTTGATCTTAGCCATTCTGACAGGTGTAAGATGGTATCTCACAGTAATCTGATTTGCATTTCCCTGATGGCTAACAACGTTAAATATTTTCTTAAGTATCTTTTGACCATTTGAGAGTCTTCTGTGAAGAATTTTTTGTTTAGTTCTGTACCTAATTTTTTATGGCCAAGCTCAAATTTATTTAAGTTACAATTTCTGGCAAAATATAACCCAAAGTAGCTATAAATATGAAGGTTCCAAACATTGTTGGTAATAAGTAAAAACAAGTTTCTACAATTCAAGTAAAACATAATAGGCACACTGGGTCAAAGTTGCCTTTGGTCCTTGTCTTTTCTAACTAGATGTTTCATCTGGTATCAAGATTTCTCCTTTACATTCAGTAATCTGCCCAACTTACCATCTTAGTAAGTAAAATAACTTGATTTGATGATCATTCCATAGATGGCATTCTGTGTATCTCATGAAGATAAAACCAGAACATGTACTTTTTAGTTTTTCTGTGTATCTCATGAAGATAAAACCAGAACATGTACTTTTTAGGTTTTTTTTTAAGACAAAAATCTCATTATATAGGCCAGACTGGCCTTGAACTCTGGAATCTTGTGTTCAGTCTCTACTGAGCTGGAATACAAGTGTGTACCACTGTGCCTGGCTCAGTTTTGAAGTCCTGTAGACTCATTCTCTTCCCCTATTTCTGCTTGCTACTTTTAAAAGCTATTGAAAATAAGCCATCTTTTATATCTATTTTTGGTATTTATAATCTTTATTAACATTTTAACATGGCTCCTTCAAGATTATTTACTTTATTTGTTGTATTACTAAAATAATTTTAAAGAAATATATTCTGGTGCTAATACAAAGGAAATTGTTAAAAAGAAATCTAGTAAAATTGTGCTGTAGGACAAGGCTGCAGATTGTAACAGTCCGTTTCCTATCACGGTAGCCCAATACCACACACTGAGTGAGTTATAAACAAGGGAGGTTGGTTTTGTCTGAGGCTTAGAAGAAGATATCAGGCTATAACTGGCAGTAGAGGTCAGAGGAATCCCAAGGCATGGGGAGGATTCTGTTGAGGCTCCATCCATCAGTTCCTTAGTCTCCCACTAAACCCTAGAGCAAATTAAGTTTTACCCTCTCAGAGTCTCACTTTGGGGGTTCATTTTCAGCCCACAAAGCCCTCTAGGGGCACACTCAAAACATGTCTGAAACATAGAATATATTTTTTTTAATTTTTTTCAGTTTTTTTCTTTATTATTATTATTAAAAATTTTGACCTCCTCTCCTTCTCCCATTTCCCTCCCCTCCCTCAATTCCCCCTCCCCATTTCTCTCCAGTCCAAAGAGCAGTCAGGGTTCCCTGTCCTGTGGAAAGTCCAAGGTCCTGCCCCCTCCATCCAGTTCTAGGAATATGAGCATCCAAACAGATTAGGCCTACACGAAGCCAGTACATGCAGTAGAATCAAAACCCAGTGCCATTGTCCTTGACTTCTCAGTCAGCCCTCCTTGTCAGCCACGTTCAGAGAGTTCGGTTTGATCACATGCTCCATCAGTCCCAGACCAGCTGGCCTTGGTGAGTTCCCATTAGATCAGACCCACCATCACAGTGGGTGGGCGCACCCCTTGCGGTCCTGACTTCCTTGCTCATGTTCTCTCTCCTTCTGCTCCTCATAAGGCCCTTGGGAGCTCAGTCCAGTGCTCCAATGTGGGTCTCTGTCTCTATTTCCATCCATTGCCAGATGAGGGTTCTATGGTGATATGCGAGATATTGATTAGTGTGGCTATAGGATAGGGCCAGTTCAGACGACCTCTCCTCAGCTGCTCAAGGAACAAACTGGGGACATATCCTTGACACCTAGGAACCCCTCTAGAGTCCAGTCTCTTGCCAACCCTCAAATGGCTTCCTTAATTAAGATCTATACTTCCATGTTCCCTTATCCACTTTTCCTCCATCCCAACCGTCCCATTCCCCCAAGCTCTCCCCATCCTCCCCTTCTCACTTCTCTCTACCCATCTCCTCTTACCCCTACCCCAACCCACCCCCAAGCTCTCAATTTTTGCCTAGCAATCTTATCTACTTCCAATATCCAGGAGGATAACTACATGTTTTTCTTTGGATTCACCTTCCTATTTAGTTTCTCCAGGATCACGAATTATAGGCTCAATGTCCTTTATTAAAGTCTAGAATCCACTAGTGAGTGAATACATACCATATTCATTTTTTGGGTCTGGGTTATCTCATTTTGGATAATGTTTTCTATTTCCATCCATTTGCATGCAAAATTCAAGATGTCATTGTTTTTACCACTGAGTAGTACTCTAATGCATATATATTCCACACTTTCTTTATCCATTCTTCCATTGAGGGGCATCTAGGTTGTTTTCAGGTTCTGGATATTACAAATAATGCTGCTATGAACATAGTTGAACAAATTATTTTGTAATATGATAGGGCATCTCTTGGGTATATTCCCAAGAGTGATATTACAGGATCGTGGGGTAGGTTGATCCCAAATTTCCTGAGAAACCGCCACACTGATTTCCAAAGTGGTTGCACAAGTTTACATTCCCACCAACAATAAATGAGTGTTCCCCTTAGTCCACATCCTCTCCAGCAAAGGCTATCATTGGTGTTTTTGATTTTAGCCATTCTGACAGGTGTAAGATAGTATCTCACAGTTGTTTTGATTTGCATTTCCCTGATCGCTAAGGAGGTTGAGCATAACTTAAGTGTCTTTTGACTATTTGAAATTCTTCAGTTGAGAATTCTCTGTTCAGTTCAGACCCCCATTTTTTAATTGGGTTAATTAGTATTTTAAAGTCTAGTTTCTTGAGTTCTTTACATATTTTGGAGATTAGACCTTTGTCTGTTGCAGGATTGGTGAAGATCTTCTCCCAATAAGTAGATTGGCTTCTTGTTTTAATGACAGTGTCCTTTGCTTTACAGAAGCTTCTCAGTTTTAGGAGGTCCCATTTATTCAATGTTGCCCTTATTGTCTGTGCTACAGGGGTTATACATAGGAAGTGGTCTCCTGTGCCCATATGTTGTAGACTACTTCCCACTTTCTCTTCTATCAGGTTCAGTGTGTTCAGATTGATATTGAGGTCTTTAATCCATTTGGACTTGAGTTTTGTGCATGGTGATAGATATGGATCTATTTTCATTCTTCTACAGGATGACATCCAGTTATGCCAACACTATTTGTTGAAGATGCTTTCTTTCATCCATTGTATACTTTTAGCTCCTTTGTCAAAAGTCAGGTGTTCATATGTTTGTGGGTTAATATCTAGGTCTTCTATTCGATTCCATAGGTCGACTTCTCTGTTTTTATGCCAGTACCAAGCTGTTTTCATTACTGTATCTCTGTAATAGAGTTTGAATTCAGGGATGGTAATGCCTTCAGAAGTTCCTTTATTGTAAAAGATTGTTTTATCTATCCTGGGTTTTTTTTGTTTTTTCATGTGAAGTTGATTATTGTTCTCTCAAGGTCTGTGAAGAATTTTGTTGGGATTTTATTAGGGACTGTGTTGAATTTATAGATTGCCTTTGGTAGAATTGCCATTTTTACTATGTTAATGCTACCATCCTAGAGCATGGGGGGGTCTTTCCATTTTCTGGTGTCCTCTTCAATTTCTTTCTTCAATGCCTTAAAGTTCTTGTCAAAGAGATCTTTCACTTCCTTGGTTAGAGTTACCCCACGATACTTTATGCTATTTGTGGCTATCAGAAAAGGTGAAGTTTCTCTGATTTCCCTCTCTGCTTCTCTATCCTTTGGGTATAGTAGGGCTACTGATTTTCTTTTTTAGTTAATCTTGTAAGCTGCCACTTAACTGAAGTTATTTATCAGCTATAGGAGATCTTTGGTAGAGGTTTGGGGGTCACTAATGTACACTATCATATCATCTGCAAATAATGAATGTTTGACTTCTTCCTTTCCAATTTGAATCCCCTTGATCTCCTTATGTTGCCTTATTGCTATTGCTAGAACTTCAAGCACTATGTTTAAGAGATATGGTGAGAGTGGACAGCTTTGTCTTGTTCCTGATTTGGGTCGAATGGCTTTGAGTTTCTCTCCATTTAATTTGATATTAGCTGTTGTCTTGCTATATATTGCTATTTTTATATTTAGGTATGATCCCTGCATCCCTAACCTCTCCAAAACCTTTATCATAAAGGGGTGTTGAATTTTGTCAAATGCTTTTTCTGCATCTAATGAAATGATCATTTTTCTTTCAGTTTAGTTATATGAGGGATTACATTGATATATTTTCATATGTTGAACTAGCCCTGCATCTTTGACATGAAGCATACTTGGTCATGATAGATGATTGTTTTATGTGTTCTTGGATTCAGTTTACAAGAATTTTATTAAGAATTTTTGCATCCATGTTCATGAGTGAGATTGGTTTGTAATTCTCTTTCTTGGTTGAGTCATGTGTGGGTTTAGTATCAGGGTAACTGTAGCCTCCTAAAAACAGTTTGGAAGTGAGCCTTCTGTTTCTATTATGTGGAACACATTAAGAAGTAAAGGTATTAGCTCTTCTTGGAAGTTCTGGTCGAATTCTGAACTAAAACCATCTGGCCCTGGCCCTGTTTTGTCTTTTTTTTTTTTTTTTTTTGGATTGGGATGCTTTTGACGACAGCTTCTATCTCCTCGCAGCATATAGGTCTTTTTAAATTGCTCACCTGGTCTTGATTTTATTTTGTTAGATGGTATCTATCTTAAAAATTGTTCATTTCGATCTTGACTTCTTGACCTTGGTCTCCTGCTGGTCCTCGTCTTTGGTCGGGTGCGCAATCATGTCTGTCCTGACGCCACTGCTGCTGAGGGGCCTGCCTGGTTCGGCCCGAGGGCTCATGGTGCAGCGCGCTCATGTCCACTCAAAGCCGAAGCCGCAGCGGGAGCAGATCGGGGTCGTGGAGGTCACCGTTGGGCTCACTTCCTGCTTTGTCTGTTGCCTCCTGCCTGCGGGCTGGATCCTGTCGCATCTGGAGAGCTACAAGAAGGGAGTGAAGGGAGCTTCCTCCCTCCTGTGACTTGACGACCCTTGCCAGCCCATCTTGATCATGTTTCCTGCATTCCTGCTGGCCTTCCCTGGGATCATGCCATTCAATTCCAGTCACCTCTTCTGCAATCATGACCTCTCGATGTTTCCATGGTGACAACTGGGACCACACATATTGCTGCTGCTTGGTGGGGTCCCCCTTGTAACAATAAAGTTTGTTTAAATCTTAAAAAAAATTGTTCATTTCTTTTACATTTTCTAATTTTGTGGAGTACAGGTTTTTGCAGTACGTCCTAATGATTCTCTGGATTTCCTCAGTGTCTATTGTTATGACCCCTTTTCATTTATGATTTTGTTAATTTGGATGTTCTCTCTTTGCCTTTTGATTAGTTTGGATAAGGGTTTGTCAGTCTTGTTACTTTTTCTCAAAGAACCATTTCTTTGTTTCATTGATTCTTTGTATGTTTTTCTGTGTTTCTATTTTGTTGATTTCAGCCCTCAATTTGATTATTTCCTGTCTTCTTCTCCTTCTGGGTGAGTATGCTTCTTTTATTCTAGAGCTTTCAGGCATGCTGTTAGGTCACTGATGTGAGCTTTCTCTGTTTTCTTTATTTGGGCACCTAGTGCTATGAATTTTCCTCTTAGCACTGTTTTTATAGTGTCCCATAGGTTTGGATATGTTGTGCCTTCATTTTCATTGAATTCAAGGAATATTTTAATTTCTTTCTTTATTTCTTCCTTGACCCAGGGGTTGTTCAATAGTTGACTGTTTAGTTTCCATGAGTTTGTAGGCTTTCTGGCATTAGTATTGTTCTTGCATTCTAACTTTACTCTATGGTGATTTGATAAGACACAGTGGATTACTCCAAATTTTTGTATCTGTGACTGTTTGCATTGTTACCTAAATGTGATCAATTTTAGAGAAGGTTCCATGAGGTGCTGAGAAGAAGGTATAATCTTTTTTTGTTTGGGTGGAACAATAAATAAATAAATGACTATTAAGTCCATTTGATTCATTACATCTGTTAGTTCTCTTATTTCTCTGTTAAGTTTCTGTCTGTTTGACCTGTCCCTTGTCGAGAGAGGAATGTTGAAATCTCCTACTATTAGTGTGTGGGGGTTGATGTGCAATTTAAGTTTTCGTAATTTTTCTTTTATATATGTGGGTGCTCTTGTATTAGGGGCATAGATATTCAGGACTGATCTTGGAAGGTTGTGACGCGCTTCCTGACCAGCAGGAAAGGACGATCACAAAATCAAGAATCCTTCTCAATCACAATTTATTAGAGCTCCTTGCTTGAAAGGGGGAATGGGGAACAGGGATGACGAGAGAGAGCGAAAAATCCAAAGACAGCCGCTTTTCTAGGGTGAGAGGCTCGAATGCTGATTGGTTGATGCCATTCTACTAGGACCCAAGGCCACGGGACAGGTCAGGAGACCAAGTCTCTTGAGATGCAAAACAAGGCTTGAGCACACCCGCCCAAGGCAGCAACATCAAAGGATATGTATACCTCCAGGCTGAAGGACTGCTGGCACTATCTGGCCAAGGCGACATCCAGGCGGCTCCCTACAGCTCCTCCTTTTATTGTCTTTAAGAGCAATAAGGCAAAACTATTTTCCAATCTGGTCCCCACCTCATGATGTGTGGACTGATTAAAGAAAAGAAAAGCAAGACACACCCTTCCCGTGCAATGGGACAACTACTTCCCTGGGAGTGCTAGGACTGTGTCTGCACACCCTCCACCTATGTATACCTTTCTCTGTGTCGTGGGACTATCTGGTCCCTAGAGGGTGCAAAGGCTATGTATGGCTAATTGCCTGTGAGCTCTTTTGAGGCTGAGAGCCAAACCTGGGGTGAGGATACACATTCCAAGACTGCCAAGGCCTGTGCCACTAAGACCTTGTCCCTCCTCACTTGGGCTAGCAGGTAGCACACCAATCAAAGACATACAGCACTTCCACCTAGACACAGCATGCCAAGGATATCTCTGCTCCCACCCATCCCCAAGGAGGGAGAAAGGCAGAATAGAGTCAGTCAGAAAATTGTTAAGAGATAAGAGGTTGCACAGGGTGCTGCTCAAGGTGATAACGTGAAACAGTTGTTCTTGACACCGCCCAGGGTGTCATCACTGGCACGAATCTTCCACAGCAGGACACTCAGCATCCACTGGATCATCTTTTTTTTTATTTTTCTTGTCAGTTTTGTTGGCACCCAGATTGGATCTTCACGATTTTGAGGGAAAATGCAAATTGCTCCCCTGGATCTGGTAATTACCTGATCCGGTCCACACCATTTATTAATCAACATATCCTTTCACATGACCAAATCTTGCTCTGTAGAGCTTTTAAACAGGGCATGCCTGTCTGTTGCTGTTTTTTTTAGCAATATTTTGGATTAAAAAATTAAGTGTAAAGAGTGTAAGAGAAATCCTTTTTCTGGGGGAAGCTGTTACAGCTATTTTTTCTTTTTGCTTTTGTAAAATTTTTTTTAAATTTCTATTTGCTCTTTTTACGATACTCTGGCTTTGAGGATTGTATGGTAGGCCAGTGGTATGTTCAACTTGTAATTGCTTGCAAAAGGCTTTAAAGCCTTGTGAGGCATATGTCGGGCCATTGTCGGTTTTTAAACGACTTGGCTTTTCCCAAGCTGCCCAGGCCTCTAAGCAATGCATTTTTACATGAGTTACCTTTTCCCCTGCCAGTGGGGTGGCATGAATTATTCCAGAGCATGTGTCCACCGACACATGAACATACTTTTGTCTGCCAAACTCCGAGATGTGAGTCACATCCATTTGTCAGAGTGAGTTTGGCTTTAACCCCCTGGGATTTACCCCAATATGTGGGGGATGTAACATGGTCACGCAGGAGGGACAGGCTTTTACTATCCTCCTGGCATTTTTCCTAGAGATCTTAAACTTTAAGCGAAGTGTATTCGCTGGAACATGATAAAGCTGATGGAAATCTCTAGCTAGCTGGAGTGAATCTGTAGCCACAAGGGCGAGTGCTCGAGTAGCACCATCAGCTTGAGCATTGGCCTCTGCCATAGGTCCTGGCAAGAGAGAATGGGCTCGAATATGAGCAACATAAAAGGGATTTTCTCTTTTTAAAATATGTTTTTGTACTTGTAAAAGAATATTAGACACTGTACTTGAGCTGCGAATTGAGGCTGCAACCTCAAGAGAGGCCACAGCATTGACCACATATTGTGAATCTGAAATTAAATTAAATGGCTCAAGAAATCTCTGAAACACCTCCAAAACCACCAAGCACTCAGTGACTTGGGGGGAATCAGGCCGAAATTGAAAGACCACAGGTTTAGCATTTCCTGCCATCAGAGCCCCTTTTTCGGTCTTTGAGCCATCTGTATAGATAGTTAAGGCTCCTTCTAATGGGTGGGGTGAGGTAATCCTGGGAAAATACACCAAATTTTTCTCCACAAAATTTATTAAGGGATGCCTTGGCACATGATTGTCAATAACATTAGGGAATGCACAAAGCAGGATAGCCCAGCCATCTACTGTGGCTGTCAAAACTTCTACCTGTTTTCTCGTATAGGGAATTATCAACTTGTCAGGCATTCTCGTAAAGTGGGCTAAGCAAAGCTTTATTTCCATTAATGCTTGGCCAGCCACCAATTCTGGATAATATTGAACAGATCTTGCTCCTATGGAATTTTTATGCATCCACCAGAGGGGTCCATCTTGCCATAACACTCCAGTGGGATAATTTTTTGTTTTGAGAATGCATAGCAAAATTGGTAAGGATGGATTCACTCGCTGTAATTGAGCTATAGTAATAGCAGATTTTACCCTCTTAAGGGTCTGCATTGCAGCCGGGGTCATGGCTCTAGGTGAACAGATATCAGGATTGCCTTCTAAGATGGAAAACAAAGGCAAGAGCTCAGATCGAGGTATATTTAAATATCCTCTAATCCAATTTATATCTCCCAGCAATTGCTGGAAATCATTAAGAGTTTTAAGGTGATGGGTGCGAATAAGCACTTTTTGAGGCCTGATGCTTTCAGGGGTGATTATAGTCCCCAAAAATTTCACCATGAAAGATGTTTGTACTTTATTTGAGGCTATGTGGAGTCCTTGCTCCTCCAAAAGGGATGTAACCTTTTGGAAAACTTCCTTCAGGGTTTCCTGGTGTGGGGCAGATAATAATAAATCATCCATGTAGTGAACAATTTTTACCATAGGAAATTGTCTCCTAACAGGACTCAATGCTGCATCTACATATAACTGACATATGAGGGCGCTATTGGCCATTCCCTGAGGCAAAGTTTTCCATTGAAACCGAGCATTGGGTTGCTCATTGTTAACAGATGGAAGAGTAAATGCAAACCTTTCCCGGTCCTGAGGGCACACGGGAATTGAAAAGAAACAGTCCTTGATGTCCAAGGAAATTACAGGCCAATTCTTTGGTATTGCTGAAAGCAATGGAAGACCCTGCTGGGCTGGGCCCATGACCTGCATCTGAGCATTGACTGCCCTAAGGTCATGCAGTAACCTCCAACCTCCAGAAGCCTTTTTAATCACAAAAATAGGCGTATTCCAACGTGATACAGAATGTTTTAAATGTCCTAGTTTTAACTGTTCTTGTACTAATTGTCTTGCAGCTTTCAGCTTTTCCAAGGAAAGGGGCCACTGAGGGACCCATACCGGCTTATCTACTAGCCAAGGGATGGGCATTGTCTTTTGTGTGGAAGCTACAGCTTCAGTGGCCCCTATGAAAAACCCAAGCCTTTTTTATCTAACTTGGAGACAGTCTCAATAGGATTTTGTCTACCTTGGAGACATTTACCAAGTTTCTTATTGGGAACATAGCCCTGACGTGCCATCATTTGCTTACTGGTATCAGAATAATCATTTGTAAGTCTCAATCTCATTTGAGACTGCACATCCCTGCCCCATAGGTTGATGGGCAAATCAACCACAAAAGGCTGAAAAGTCCCTCTCTGATCTTCTGTTCTCCAGACTAACTCCTTAGCACTCATATGCGGTGTTTGTGCATACCCCAGCCCTTGAA